AGAAAAAGGAACCCTCACACAGCTAGGTCTCTTTAGGGTCCGGGCCGGAAAAATCCAAACTGTTTCTGAGGGTTTAGGGTTTAGGGTTTAGGGTTTAGGGTTTAGGGTTTTGGGTTTTGGGTTTTAGAGTGTAGTTGTTCAGACCTCGCAACTAACCTGTAAACTTGTTATTCTGGACTCATCACAACACCAATCAAACATAAATCCCTCAACCCTAAACCCCAAGCCCTATAACTCTGAACACGAAAGTCCCTGCACAGTCTCAAAGGTTAAGCGGTTCGCCTTCTGCCAGTGCAGGAAAGTGACCAGGTAGGTGCAGAAAGGCGAGCTATAATATAGGAACCTCAAAGATTCACTAAGGGTCCAAAGGACTCAATGATTCAATAGTCGGGCGTAGGACGCATAGGATAATAGTTATCTCAGTAAGTATGATCTCATGCAGGTTAGTACTTGGGAGAGTATATGGCTTTCAGCTAGCCTCAAAAGATAGGTTTCCACAAACCGCCCTAAGCCCAAGAACCCCTAAACCTCTAAGCCCTAAGCCCCCAAACCCTAAACCCCCAAACCCTATACCCCTAAACCCTACAGCCCCAAACCCTAAACCCCCAAACCCTACAGCCCCCAACCTTAAACCCCTAAATCCCTAAACCAAGCTTTCCCAGACTGGCACTCCACAGGGAAGCCTCTAAAGTTTAACAAAATCCCAAAAGGGTCCTAGGTACTGTTATGGGCTCCCATAAGCGCTGTCTAAAGATGAGCACCTGTAGGGCGTACATAATTTTTGTACGTCCCAGTGAATCTGAACAGATGCTTTTTTCGACATTTCAACCTGACGTGTAAGTGTCTTCAGCGTGCATGCAGGGTCGGGCAGCGAAGAACACTGTGAGCAGAGAGCAAAAGGTAGGATTGGAGCGTATTGTCTTTCTCGACGACGTTTCCCGCAGAATCCGCGACCATTGCCGCTGATCGAACAAGCGCTTCCGGAGGAGGGCGTTACCGTGAAAGACGGGGGCGGCAGTACTTGGAAGGCTCGTCCTTGCTGCCGTTGTTCTCGCCTGGGTGCCCCTTGGAACGGCGCAGTCCAGCCTCGCCGAGCACGGTTTCGGGTTTAGGGTTCAGTGTTTAGGGTTTTGGGTTTAAAGTTTAGGGTCTAAGGGACAATCTCATTGCCGCATGCTCGTCTTTGCTGCCGTTGTCCTCGCGGCTTCATTTCGGCAATCCAGCTTCGCTGTCGCTTGGGGCCGTCTGGTTTTGAGATTCTGGTGGTGTGGCTAAGCGGCTTTGCGGCGCTTCGGGGTTTTAGGGTTTCAGCCTTTCCGGATTGGGGATGTCAGCCATGAACTTTGCAAACCCTAAACCACTCTAAACCACAACCAGCTGAAGCCGTAAGCCCCAAACCTTCAACTGAACCTAAACCCTAAACCCCTAAACCCCTAAACCCTAGACCCTAAACCCCAGACCCTAAACCCGCTAAACCTAAACCCTCTACCCCTAATCCCTATAAGCCCTAAACCCTAACCCCTAAACCTAAAACCCTAAACCCCTATAACCACTAATCCCCAATGGCTTCGCCTCAAAAGCCTGCTTTATCGAATCTTTGGCTTTGGCTTTCTCCATGTCCCCAAGCCTCGCCTGACCCGAAACACAAAGCTTGAAGTCCTACTTTGGGTTTAGGGTTTAGGGCGTATAGAGTTTATAGGGGTTTAGGGGTTTAGGGTTCAGGGTTTAGGGTTTAGGGTTTGGGATTTAGGGGTTTAGGGTTTAGGGTTTGGGGTTTAGGGTTTAGGGTTTGGGGTTTGGTGTTCATGTACCTTTATAGTAGGTACTGAGGCCTTATAGAGGGGTCCCTACTTACCCATAACACAAAGGCTCCATACACTTTTACCCTAAGGGTCCATGTGCCCACATAGTATATACATTTTGGCCCCAAAATACCTATATAGGAATTACTTTAGGGCCAAGGTGTATACCATTTGCTTACATGGTCCCTTAGGGTTATAGTAGATGCTTAGGCCTTAAAGGGGTCCCTACAAAGGTACTTTAAAGGCCGAAGTATCTACTATATGGGCACATGGAGCCTTAGAATAAGCGGCAATATGAGAACCCTTTAGAGGGTACCGCTTGGGAGAGCTCTGGCAGCATATATTCGCCAGTCTGGTTTCTCCGGTGCTGGAGGCTCTTTGCAGCATCATCGTGAGATACGGGCTCATACATCCTACTATATCGGTGCTTAGGAGCCCCTTGTAAACCACATAAAGTCCTACACGCCCCTTGGCGAGGAGCTTCTACCGAGCCGCACTGAGCTCCTTCTGATCCTGGGCAAGAAGGTTTTAAGGTTTTTCAGGGTTTCGGGCGTTTTGGGTTTAGGGTTTAGGGTTTAGGGCGTTTTGGGTTTAGGGGTTAGGGTAGGGCCTTAATAATTAGAGTAGGCCTCGGGGTATATTCTAACATGAGTATAGTGCGGATCTAGAGTGGGCGTCGGGGTATATTCTAAGATGGGTATAATGCGAATACGATTACTGACAGTTTTGGGCTTGGGGTGTCGTGCTCAATATTCGGAGTCTTGAGGGTTTAAGGTTTAGGGGGTTGGGGGTTCGGATTTGGGTTCTTTACCATGAGACTTTTAGGACTCTACTAGTTGTATACAGGTTTTGGAGACTTTATAGCGGGTTTGTATGCATTTTCTTTGTTTTATCTGTGATCTATACTGGATTGTAATTATAGTATATAAGTGTGCGATATCAGGTCTGTAGCATTCAAATACTAATAACATGTAGCAAACTTTAGTAAGTTCTTCCTAAAGCCTCTAAAGCGTTCTTTAGATCATGGTTTCACATGTCATCTTGAGCCGATGAGTCTGAGGTGCTTCAAGGTTGGATGGCGTTGCTCAAGGCTCTCGCCAGGGTCTTTCGGGTGCTACAGGGTTACAAGTCTCGAGAGGAAAGTTCTTTTGTAGTTGTAAGGAGTTGATGCTTGGGGCTTGTGAACCCGTTTGAAGTAAGCTAAAGCCACACAACCGTCAAGAGTCAGTGAAGCCGTCGAGGTAAGACATGAAGCTCGTTGTGCAAGGCTTTAGTTGTCAGGCTAAGATGCAGACGGATTGCACCAAGTCCCCAACTTGAACCTAACTTTGATGCCCTCATACAGCATGCAAGCACTAGGTTGAACCTTGCAGGAATTCCCTAACCGGCATGAGTGCATGGGCTGAATCCTGAGGACAGTGCACCTCACGCAAAGACAGGTGACAGCATCTTGGCATGATTGAGTTGGGTTTTCAATTACCTTCGGACCCGAATGAAGCAGTCATTCGATTATTGTCTTGCATGGGTCAAGGATACCCCTCTATGGGCGCTAGTAGTAGTGGTGCGAGTATCAACATCGTAAGTTCTGCGACATCGTTGACAACCGGCCCTAATTTAGAGAACTACACGTATAACCATCCATGTCTCCTTGGACTTTTCTGGGTCCTTGTTGGAAAAATGTTAACATTTTTGTTACAAGAATACTCAATAAGGATTAACCATGATCATTTTTAATGTAGCCCCAACAAAGAAGCAGATTTGAGTGGGGACAAACTAGAAATTTCTAAACGTGAGAAAGCTCTGTCCTAAAACCCGGCGAAGTCATATCAATCCTTGCGGCGCACTTCCAGCCCTCCTATTTGAGCGCCTAAATAGTTACCAAATACTATTTTTTGGCGGTTTCTTATTTTTTTATAGGATACTGTTAGACCTCAGCACCCTATTCTACTTGTTCAGCTTCAGGCCACTATATTCACCACTCAACCTGTCGAAATTCAGGGCTTTCGCGTCCCCAAACCCTGAACCCTGAGCCCTAAACCCCTAAACCCTAAACCGGTTTAAGCTACAGTAGGAGAACCCCTCAACCCTAAGCCCAGACCCCTAAACCCTAAACCCCAAAGCCCTGGCCTAGGAGTTGCCGGGTCATGGCGGTTGAGGATTAAGAGCTTAGGGTTTAGGGTTTAGGGTTTGGTGCTTAAATAAATTAGGGTTTAGGGTTTAGGGCTTGTGTATAAAATAAGAGCTTAAATAAGTACCAATACCATTCTGGGGGTTCCTCATGATAGGTATAGTGTAATGTACCCCCAAACCCTAGTCCAGTTGTTCTAAACCCTAAACCCTTATAGTAGCCCTTATAGAACCCTTTAAGGAACCCTTCAAAGGAACGCCCCAAACCCAGTTCCAACGAAGGCCCTATATAGTAAGAGTGTTCAGAATGGTAGTATATATGGAGCCTCTGGGAGAAGCATCATCATCGACACCCGAAGCACTGAACCGAAACCTAGTGCATCGCGGATGAGCGGTTCGGTCAACATGTTGTCTAAGTACAGTAGTCTGTAGCCCCTAAACCCTAAACCCATAAACCCTAAACCCCATAAGGCTTACCGGAAACCCTAAACCCATAAACCCTAACCCCTATAAGGCATACCGGAAACCCTAAACCCATAAACCCTACACCCTACAAGGCATACCGGAAAGTTCTGGGTATATGTAGTAACCCGACACGCAAAGACGCCACGCCATGCTAAACACCCTACACCTGTACACCCTAACCAGGCCCTTCCGTCTCAGGGTTTAGGGTTTAGGGTTTAGGGTTTTAGGGTTTAGGGTTTAGGGTTGAGCCCTCCTGTGGATAGCTGTCTAAATTTTAAATTATGGCCCCGTCTTAGGTCACCAACATATATAGTGCGGCACCCTTATAAAAAGGACCCTAAAAGGGACCTTAGTTTAGAGAACTGCCCATGTAGACGCCTGCTTGATAAACACTCACCCGCACCAAGATTTGAATCGGGATCGGGGCAGCTGTCAGCTAACACTCAGGCTTTTAACGTTGAAGACAAATTTACGTATGAATCAGGGGTCTGCAGTACCTTGAACTACCAAAACCTGAAAGTAGGGTCCCTATTACGGATAATAAGGACGGACAGCAAAGTAGGCTATGGTCGTTTAAGGCAGTTCTCCAAGTCTCATCCCACTGAGGCATATCGAGGCATCTGTCAACTTCGATTGGCAGCCAAGCTGAATCTTCCTGCGGCTTGGGTTTGAGGGTTTAGGGTTTAGGGTTTAGGGTTTAGGGTTTAGGGGTGCGGGTTTGGAGTTTAGGGTTTGGGGTTTACGGGTTGGGCTGGTGCAGAGCACGGTTTTACGCATCATCTGCTTAATTAACCCGTTCGTACACAAACCATCCTGAAACTCAATTTAACCTTAAAGCCTAAACCCTGAACCCTAAACCCTAAAGCCTCCCCGGGCCCGAGCCGGACTATAACCTTTCAAAAGACTCGCCTACATTCCGCCCTCAACTCTAACTCCTAAACCTTTGAGAGTTTAGACTTCTTCAAACCCTAAACCCTGAACCCCT